GCTGAACCCAGCAGTTTCATTGCTTTGCAGAATGGATCAAACCAAAGGAAAAGATGGGCAGTGAGAAAGGACAAGTTTCAAACTGGCAAACATAGAAAAGAAAAGCAAAAGGCCTCCCAAAGCATCTAAATTCTCTTTATCATCCACATACACTCACACTTTCAGAAGGATCTGAGATGACTAAAAAAATAGGTACTGACCAGATGTGTTAAGAAATAATTTGGAACTTCTCCAAATTACTAAAAAGCAATTGTAACAAAAATATTTTTTTCTATCCAGAATGAAAGAGACTCTTGAAAAATGAATGGTTGCAGAGACAAAAGGCTAATGACTAATTTAACATGGGAAAATGTGTGCCCGCAAGTGCACAGTTTGAATATTTTTGAGATGTATCTGTGTAGACTTAAACAGCCCTATTCCTGCTCCCTCACTGAATAATGGAACTGATTTGGGTTAAAATATTAACATTTGGGAAGAGGGATGGTATTTTTTATGCAGGTCATTTTCCCATTCCTATGCAGGTCATTTTCCCATTCCAGCCTATCATGCAGCCTTCATGCATGCCCCAAATGCAGGAACAGCAGAAACATGAAGGAACACCAAGGTTGGAGCTGTTTAAATCAGCACTACTGCCAAAAGAAACATCAAACTAAAATCAAAGGGTTTTCTTTCTGCATCTAACCTCTTCGCTAGCCTAAGTAATTCTACCTTTTTTTTTTTTCCAAGTGAAAGTAAGGTGCTCAAGTTCATTTTATCTTTACACCAAATTCTTATTAGCTGGATGAACAGTCAAGCCATTACTCTCAGTTACGTACATGGTCTTTGAAGAAACTCTGATAGAGATCCTTAGAGAATTTCTCTGGTGGGTAAAGGTCATTACTAAAGTACACCCCCAAACTAAAATAAATATACAATTCAATAAATAATGTGTGGGAGACAAAGTAAAGCTCAAATCTTGCAAGAACAGACTTCAGAAACTCTTCATGCTCATATGAAGCATATCTCCAGCACAACCAAATCATTAGTTTGTGTTGTGAAGGTGTTTACTACTAGTAGGATACACCAGAAGATCCTAGGTGCAACAGAAAAGGGTGTTATTAGCTGGATGTTTTTTAGTAGATATTGCCTTAAGAACTCTGATAATATCAGCAGGTGATCTACTTCCCAGGCCTCCCAGCTCCTCCCCAAACCAAAAATAACTCCTGTCCCTGAAAAATGGAAGTTCTGATTTCCCAAATGGGATCCCTCTATTCTGAATCCTGAAGAATTCTGTTAAAGTCTTGTCAAGGTCAAGAGCACTGAAGGTCCATGTCACACTGAGAGGAAGGTCTGTCTGCCACTGTTCTGACTTGCAGTTTGAAAAGACAGACAAGCTTGAAATTTGAAATAAGTGACTGTCCAAAAAGACAGAAAGTAGACTTTTTAAACACATCTCTGCTTAGGTCCAAATACCATGAACTTGTTTCCAGATTGGAGTAATAAAAACTGACCAAAACCCCCTCCTTCATCACCTCCTGAATTCCAATTCTTTTTAGCTAAAGGGAGGAATGAGACAAGCAGATTGAACTCAGGAGGAACTGTAGAGTTTATCTTGAAAGCAGAAGTTCTGTCTCCCAAGTCCAAAATACCGAACAGATTTTGCAAAGATAATTTTGTTCTGGAGTTTTCTCTTGATGATGCTGGACTCCAATAACCCAGACTGAATCTTTTCATTATCAAAGCAACAATTACGAATCTTTATGGTAAAACTCTTTTAAGGAGACATTGCAGAATAAACCAGTAGAATGAGTCATCCCAAATGGAAGTTCAACTTTTCACTTTGATTTTTTTTTCCACAGGTGGGCACTGAATTATGTCAAAAAAAGTTTTAGACATATTATTCTGAGGGACACAGTCACACAGCTAACTTAAACAGTAAGGGAAAATTACCACTAATTAAACTTTCATTCCAAAATCCAGCACTTTTGGTTCAAGATGCAAAGTAATTAGGTAGGGCTGATAACCCCAGAGGGTTATTCTGAAGAATATATAGTATGTCATATAAAATAAAACAGCAATCTGAATACAAAGAGAGTCTGAAATAAAAATTGAATAATTCTGTATGTACCAAAATAACAGAAAAAATATTTTACATTTTTTACTTTAAAACATGACACAGTGCTCACTCTTCTAGCTTTCTTATAAAAAATAATACGGAAGTAATATATAACATGCACTCTTTGCAAGTCAACCTTAAAGCAAAATATATCAGAATTTTCCTACAATGTGCTCATACAGTAAAATGTATTAGTTATTTTTTCTTTAATGTAAATTGTCAAAACAATCTTAATTATATACCTGGAGACTTTGGAATTTATATTTCTACAATTATTCTTTTATGAATGCACATTTATGTAGAAGACCTCAAATGAATACAAAGACACTTACTGGGCTGCAGATCTATGGGAGAGCAGGGGTTGTGTGAGCTATTGCATGCTATTGCATGCTCTACTTGAATGGGTTTTCCATCTTAAATCCTGCAGCTTTAGAATAAACTGCTTCCAAATGTATTTTCTGTTACGAATTTGGTATTTTATTGGGCAGGCAGCTTAAAACAAACAGTATCTAATGAGATTTTTAAAGCGTTATGCAAACATATTATCTATCGCATAGTTGTAAGTGGCTAACCACCCAGTAGCACACACTTAGGAGCAATTATTTATACCAATCACTACTTTATATTTATTCCTTCAACAAAATGCACATAAATTATAATACATCATATAATCTCTGGCTGTAGTGAAATAGCAGTCGTGTTCCCCCCGCTCCACTGGCTTATTTCTTGTGGGTTTGGGGCCTTTTTTGCTTTCTGGGTGGAGGATATCAGGTCTCTTATAAAAGTGAACACGGAAATGACAGATCTTTGTTCCAGCAGCAGTAACAGGTGCTCCTGTAATGCTGCTTATTACTCTATTCCTTCATTATTAGACATTTACAATCTGATCGTATCCAGTGTCATAATGCTCCCTTTTAATTTATTGTACAACCATGATGAATAAAGAGACTTTTAGGACTAACTATTTCATAAACAAGAAATGAAACTGTTCCAGCTCAGGCATCTTTCACATAAACAGATGCTATGCCATAAACTTCTTTGTTTTGTGTCGCTTTATAGGGTTGACATCTGTTTGACAAGAGATTGCTGTACTGCGGTGGTGTTGCAATTTGATTATAAATCGGTTCTGAAATAATTTAAGCATTCCACAGTATGAGTTAATAAAAGTTTAAAAGGAGAACTGTTTTCATTCAAGCCACATTACTAAATTTCATATTGGGTAAACAATCAATTAAAGTGCATGGCTGTAACACTTTTTACAAGATAATAATGAGCAAAAAATATTAAAAAAAAATCTCTAAAGTAATTAAATTGAAAGCAGGCAGTTTTATTGAACAAGGGCTCCACTTTCATGGAAGTTAAGTTACAAGATTAGGATATAAACTCGAAAACCACCTTATTAAAACATACTATTTTCAAAAGCAGATAGGCATCTTGATTTTCAGTCACCTTAACAGGACTTCAGCTCAAAAGGTACAGTATTCCCCCAAATCCAACATGTTTCAGGCGTTGCAAGGTAGTTATTCCTATATCATGACATCTTTAAAAATATTGGTTTAAAACAAACAAAACATTGTCAGAAGTAATAGTCCAAGCTGTGCTCATAGATATTTGTAACCAGCTAAACTAACACTGTTTTATTTCCTATCACTTCCATTAAAATATTTATGCTATTTCTTCTGAAGAAAAAAACTCACTACTTAATGGGGAACGTTCCCACTACCAGCAGACCCTCCCTAGCCTTTTTCCTAGCTCCCCCTGACTTCAGCTGGCTCTCTCAGGCTTAGGACTTAGGGGTGTAACAAGCACTACAGGTCAGTTTCCTGAATTTAAATGCCTTCTGCGTTGATGAGAGCCAAAAGGAGTTGGGAAGGGTCGTTCTACCTGAGGCTGACAAGGTAATTAACTTTTAAGTTTCTAACTTGTATACTGAAAGCCAGAAAAAGAGGCAGCGTGAGCTAAGAGAACAGAAGTCAAGAGTTAAGGATCTCATTTTATTCTGACATGTACCGTGTTGCTTTGGACAAATCATTAATGGTTCAAGCCATCCACCCTGGCTCATGCTGGTTAGTACCTTTTTTCGCAAGTAGCTGCATTAATTTCAATGATTACTTTTGCGCTCACTGATCAGCTGCAGAGGTGAGAGTAGAACCCAGAAATTTCAACTGCAATCTAAGTACCATTATAGTGCACATCTTCCTATCTAAACAAACAGGAGACCATACTTAGGACAGAAAAGAGCTATGTGCACAAAATGGAAATACTTCAGCCCACAGTTGTTCAGAGGTGATACATACTAGTATTTTTTCACAGTGCTCTAAAATTGCAAAATACTAATAATTACAGTGTTGCCTTCAGAATAAAAATGCTGTAAATATTTTCAGTAGTTTTAACTCACCAGAGAAGAGGATGCATTCAAGGACTTTAAGACCACATTTTCTCCTGAACTTCCAAATTTAGCTATTTTTTCCCCTGTTTCACTACCTTAACACATCAAGGGTTTGGGTTTTGTTGTTGTTGTTTTTAGAACAAATATTATCAAATTATAAGCAGATACACAGCTAAACAAACATTTAGAAAATGCATATTTACTGTTACCCTGGCAACTATTACAGATACAGGTTGCATTTTTAGAATGCCTTACATTTGCCTCTCTAGGGCTAAAACAAATGACTCATTTTGGACATTACCATAATTAAACAGAAATTTCTAAACACAGAATGGACAGTATTGTATGTATATGCTGACAGCAAACTACACTACCACAGTGAGTCTAAAAAAGGCTTTCTTTTGTTTACGTAGGTGATTCGGAAAATACTGTAGCTGCTGAAGGAAGGAAGGACAAAAAGATGTTTTTCTTAAAAATTCAGAGTAACACTCCATAACAGTTGTTTTTCATAAGAAATACAAGGTCCAATTACAGGGGCTAAAAATGTCTTACCTACCAATAAATGTCACTAAGATATCTCAAAACTGACTATGGTAAGTTTTGCACACTGAAAAGAACGTACATTTAAGGTTATGAACAGGCGTGAAAACATTTCAGCATGAACCAGAGCTTAAAACCAGTTTTATACAAATATAGCAAACCGAAGTAAAGTTATGAATGACTTTTTGTAATTTCAAGTGTAAATACAAACGGTACCTTCTCTTTCATCTACTTCGTTGGAAACTATTAGTTTGTTAGATGTAGCTGTTGAAAAGATATCTGGAAGACTGTGTTGTTCTCTTTCATGATTCCGCAGTTGGCTCTGAAAAAACAATTTCCCACGTTTAAATATACACTACAAACATACACTGGTCACTTCAAATATTGCAATCATTTGTGCCGTTGTTACTCAAGTTTTAATGACAACTGTTATAAAGGGTATGTTAACATATATACATATTATCCCTCAGGTAATTTTACTAGAAACAAAACAAAGTAAATAACATTAATAACATAAAGGATTGATGAGAGTGACTGAGAGGATTATATGATTTGTGTTTATTTAGAAAATAAATTTCCTTCTTCCCTCATTACCATAGACAAGTGGCAAACAGTTCTTCCTCCAGAATTATTATACTCCAAAAGCAATACTAAGATTAGATGGCTTGTGTGAAAATCGACTCAATTTTCGTATTGCCTAGTGACTTAAGAATATGTTATTCCTGCTTCTACTTGCTTGGGGAGGAGAGGGGAGAGAGAGCCTTTTGCTACCCTACCTGTACATTTTTTTCAAACTAGGACTAAACAACAGTAAACATGGGAAAATTTGCACTACCATTGCCTACAAGAGTTTCAGTTGTACCGCTAGATACTGATGCTATCTATTCTATATTCCTGAGTACTGAACTGAGTATGTTGGAACACACTCACCAGCACTAAGGCTTGAAAAATTGATTATATAAATGGCAGAAGTACATTATTCTGCTCTGGCGTGTAATCTTTCAGATCGAAGTTCTACAGAACATCCAGCCCAACGCAACAACAGAGGAAAAAAGAACAGAATTTATGCTTCAAAGTGTCTCATGTTACCCCCAATTGCCACGATTACTTTTCCACACACTCACACCTAGCGGGTGTGTTTGAGCATTCTTTTAACGTTTCAACTATTAAGTCCTCTGATGCTTCCGTTTCTTCCTGTAGTTGCTACATGTGGGCAGAAAAACAACATGATATTAATACGTCCATAAGATGTTCTCAGGAAAATAACTTATGTGAGGAAGCAAGTTTATTTCAGTGGGTAAGGCAGAATAATTATAGCTGAATTGTATATTAGGAAAGTGCTGCTGGCAATAATCCCCAACTGTAATGACAATGAAGCCAGGATGTCAGACTGAATTAAGTCAGAAAGAGGGATCATCAGTTATTAAAAAAGTAGCAAAATAGGTTATTTAGCTATTATAGACAGGCACAGGAAAGAACTTTACCTTATAATGAAAGGATTCTTCACATTGCTTGCACTGATACATTCTTGTTTTGCAGTGGTTGATCATGTGGCTCTCTAAATCCTTACTATTGTCAGCAATGTGTTCACAGATAGGACACTGGTACGGCTGCCTCTGACGATGGACTCTCAAGTGTTGTTTTATGTAGCCCTTATTACCGCTGCTGTAATGGCAGAGGCGACAGCGGTAGGGTCGATCTACATTAGGTATATATTCTACTAGGTTACTTCCAGGAATATTTGCATCATTTGCATTTTGGCATTGTGCGTTGTCTTGTAATTCTTTCAAAATGTCATCATCAGAAGCATTCTGATCTGTCCTCTCTTTCAGTTTTTCAATGACAGTGAGTAGTGACATACTGATGCCCATTTTAATTGGTGCTTCTGATAACTCTGGCCTTTCTTTCTGTATCTCAACTATTGCACATTCACTTTGGTTTAAGCCACTAAACTCCTCTGAAGGACTCTTAAGTGAGGATACCACTTTAGAATGAGCCATGCATGGGCCATCAGCTTCTCCCTGCCCTGCACCTGCATCCACGGCATCTTCTCCAGTCAGAGACCTGAAGCTAGACCTTGTTAGTTCTGCAGCTCTGATAGGCATTGTAACAAGAGCTTCTGCAGCTAATGAGTGTAGTCGTAAAGACTCTGAATTTGTCCTTCTTCGTGCAGGAGGCACATTTTCATCAGCTGTTACGTTTTGATTAGAGCTTAATTCATTATCTTTCTTCTCGGTATTATTCCATCCTATTATTACTTCTTGAATTTCACCTGAATGATAAACTTCATCAGGCTCTTCACAGGTAACACGGGACTCCTCCGAGATTAATTTTTTTTCTGTTTCAATGTCAGTGTTCATCAAGAAAGGCTTTTGTAAGACACTTTCTTCAGCACCTGGCAAACGCTCTACTATTACATTAACGTGACCCTTTTTATTTGGACTACAATTGATGATTTTCTGTGCTGATGAAAGTAGGCTATCAGTTATCATATTATCCTGTTCTGTATCTGACACAGTCTCCTCTAAAACCTCTGTAGTAGGAGAATGCACTACAGACTGATTTAACATCTCTTCCTCTTTTACATTTGTTCCTACTGGCGATTTACATGACAGTTGCTCAGAATTGCAAATCTGAAGTTGAAGAGAAGGTTCACTATGGATATCAAGTTCATTGTTTTCCAAAGAAAGAACAACTGTATCCACGCTATGAGGTGTGTGAGCTACAACCCTCTCTGACAAGTTGATGGTTTCATTTTCTTCCTCAAAGATAGGATAGGAGCAATCAACCTCACCTGCATGTTTCCAAGCGTGTGTTTTCAACATTCTTTGCTGACCACAGGTGTACCGACAAATTAAACATCGGTACATGCCATACTGCTCATAAGTATACCATTTTCTCCTACCCGTTTCAGGCATATGAGGAGACTGAGTTGTATCTTTACATTCCAGATTTCCTGTCTGATCAGTCCCTGATTTGACACTTCCTTCCACTGGCCCTTGCAAAAATGAACTTGCGACATTTACACATTGCTGCACTTTTGTCTGGATGCTATTTTTACCATCATTCTCATGGTAATTTTGGAAGTGGGATTCAAGTTCTTCTTGGCTTTTGGAAGCAAAATGACATTCTGAGCACATTAATATAACTTCATTTTTCTGCCCATGTTGTTTTATATGTTCTTGTAGTGTTAAGAGAGAAGGTGATAGAAACTTACATAGACTACACTGGTAGCATGTCACTTTTTTTTTGCTTTGTGGAAGACATTCAGTCACAAAATAATCTGCTTGTAACTCTTCAGTCTTTTTAGTAGCAATAACAGATAGCTCAATTTCTTTAGCCGGGATTTCACAAAGATCGTCTGCGTCAAAGGACTGTGCAGAAGCATTAGGATGGGAACGTTTTTTCCCTATTAAAAGGCATCTTTGTGACTTCTCACTTTCAACTATTTTGCTTAGTTTCTGGATAACATGGATTAGTGGATCAGTTTTACGTTTTCTCTGATCTTCACTGTTCTGCAGTGTTGGGCCAATGACTGTTTCAGAAATCAGCACAGCTTCCTGTTCCCCAATATTTGGCATCAATACTGCAACACTGCTTCCTTCTTCCATAATACCTAGGAGAAAGGGGTTTATAAAAAATTAAAATGTATACCTGCACAATAATAAAAGTACAACCCAGTACTATTTAGATTTCTCCCTCTACTAAATATGGAAGCCTAATGCCACTAACTTAAAAACTTTCAGAATGGCTACACAATTAGCCAAAGATTTTGAGGACATTTCGTGGATAGCGTAGATGCTATTCAATACAGCTGGACAGAATAATTCCAAGAGAGTCTATAACTGCCTGCCTCCAAGTTGTACAAGGGCAAGATAAATATTTTTCAAGTATAGGCTGATTAGCATTGTTACAGCTATTGTCTTTTTCTTTACAAGGACTACACATTTGAATGCTAGACACTTAAATAGACCAATCAATAGTAACTGGCATATTTATGTTTAAAAGCCACGATATGATATGAAAATGTATTCCTAACATACTTACTCTTATACATTGATGTCTCCTAAAGCAAACGACAATTTGCAACAACATCATTTACAAAAATAAGCAATTTTTTTTCCTTGAAATGTTAGGAAAAGAAAGTAATTCTGGTATTTACTTGCATTAGTCATTTCGCTATGACTATATTAAAGACCATTCAAATGTCAAATCATACTTATTATAAATGTAATTTTCTAGAAAAGCTACAAATTGTAGCTTT